GAGAGAGAGAGTGTGAGTTCGTGTTGTTCATCTGCGCTCCATTAATATGATGTGCTGGCATTTTTGGAAGGACAACGACTGACCGTGACTGACCAAAATACTGGCATCTGATTGGCTGAGCCCTCATCATCAGCGAGACGTGACTGACGTGTGTGTGTGTGTGTGTGTGTGTTTGGATGAGGGATGTTTCTCCCAAAATACCACTGATTCTTTGAAATGGTCAGACTGGTGCTTAGAAAATGTATAATTAATGCTTTAAAATTATGGTGAAAATTAAAATTGCGATTGCCAGTTGAAAGCATTCTGGTTACTGAACATTGTAGTTTTATCTCCATTCAGACAGATTATATTTCATGATATTAAAGTGACCTTTGGCCTTCAGTCACAGCTTAGTCTGTACTAAAGGTCAGAGAGTGACAGCAAAGGTCAAAGTTCAGCCAGATTAAAGCGTGTGATGTTTCTAATGTGATCAGAAATGTTCAGGACAGTAACTCTACAATGCTGAGTCTTTAAGTGTGTTAAATTGCTCGATAAAATCCTATAAACTCATTTGGTGATTATAATGAATATTTCAGAGACTCTTATTATTCGTATACATGTTTTCAATTATTTACATAATATTTTATTGTTTTTTATAGTAATTAATTGTGTGGATTTGTCATTTTTATTTATTTATTTTTATTTTTAATTAGTAATTTAGTACGGCAAGTAGCTGAAACAAATTTTGAATGAATGATTTTTAATAAATTAATACTATAATATTAATAGATTCACTTAATAAGAAATGAATACATTTAATATTATTTTAATTTAATATTAAAATTAATATTACAAATATTATTAATTAATAGGTAATTAATGCATTTTTTTGTATTTTATTTTTATTTTTTATTTTTCATTTCTTAGTTTATCTTTAAGTAACAAAAGTTGTTTTATGGTAATAGGTAATTAATGCATTTTTTTGTATTTTAATTTTAATTTTTAATTTCTTAGTTTAAGTAACAAAAGTTTTTTATGGTTTTGGTTTTAGTTTATTATAATAACCCTGTTTTTAATTAAATCTAACAGATTATTTTATGAAAATGTAAAGGAGAACTAAAACAAAATGTTTGTTTTTTTTAGTGTTCAATGATTATTTCTGTCTGTATTGTTTGTATAATCACTGTGACTCATAACCATCTTAACTTTTGTTTAATATTTAAGTGATCCAGATAATATTGCGTCAGATTTTCCTCTAGTTCTTTCTGTCACACTTTCAGTTTCTTCACAGAAATCTCCAGACGTTCTTTCTCTCTCCTCAGAAATAATCATTAACCTGAATGTTTGTCATCTTACTCCAGAGTTTGTGTTTAAAGGATCGACACAAACGTACAGTACATGAAGATCCCTGACTTTGAACAAACACACTTGAGCTGAGCAAATGAGACGCAGACATACACAATGCAAAGGCTTTGTTTAATAGCTTTACTTAAGATTATTGTGAACTAAAGTATTTGATGCAGTCCTTAATTTACATTTGCCATCCCAAAAATATATACATTTTCATGTTAAGCAAAAGATATTCACTGTTTACGACTCCTAACCTCTTAGACTGAAAGCAAAATATGATTTGACCTCCTCGTATGTGTTTCATATTTCCAAAGGTCATAAATGGAAAAAAAATGTTTGTCAATAAAATGTATAATTCTTCTCAAAATCAGGGTTTTTATAGTTAACTACATCTAAAACCATTACTAATAATAATAACAACAAATAAATAAAATTAACATTAACTGAAATAAAATATATATTAAAAATTAACAATATACAGTAGTCAACATTTGAAGTGGATCAAAAAAGTTCATCTAAGACAAGAACACTTTTAGGTTTTAGGACAAATTTGATGAAAGGTTTTGACTTCAAATGTTAACTATAGTATATTTCAGCTACATTTATTTTATTTCAAAAACTAATAAAATACAAACAAAATGACCAAAACTCTCAAATTAAAATAAAAGTGGAAAATAATAAATAAATACTATATTAGTATCTCAGAGTTTTTTTTGATGTGTGTTTATGATTTAATGACCACGTTGATAGCACTTAATGCTGGTTTTCACCAGGAGACGGAGACATTTATGCCTTCTATTTGTTTAAAATATCTTGAAAATTCTGTATGGCGATTTTATTATTTTAGAGAATATTTTTATTACTATTTCAAATGTTTAAGTTCAGTTCTTTCTAAACAATAGATTTTCTGTGACAAAAAAAAGCTCAATTTTTTTGGTCTGGCTGGCTATTGGAATATTATATGTGGTCATATATCAGTTTAGATAACTATATCATACATGTTTCATAATAAAGCTACCATATGGAGACAGATGAATACAGTTGGAAAATCATTTCATTTGCTTTGATGTTTTAATACGCTCGTTCACATTGATTCTCTTGCAAGAAATTCAAGAAAACATTCAAATAAATGTTATTCATTCACTTTCTCCTCTTAAAACGTTTACTAAGCTGATAAAGTTTGATGTCCTTTAGCTGTACTGAGAAATGATTAACGTTATCAGAACGTTCCGGCAAGGTTCTATCAATGTTCTTCCAGTAACATTAATAGAGCGTTCATTCAACGTTATCTGGTCTTTATTAATGTTCTTACACTCTTAAAAATAAAGGTGCTTCACGATGCCATAGAACAACCTTTTTTGTCTAAATGGTTCCATAAAGAACCTTTAACATCTGAAGAAGGTTCTTATTATTCTGAAAGGTTTTAGTTGAATGTTCAGTTGTAACATTTTTTAAAAGTAACTTTTTTGTTTTAGAACGTTTAGAAAACATTCAAAATGTAACGTTCCCATAGTGTTTGCAAAACGATCAAAACGGAAAGTTCCTTTGATGTTACAATAACCAAATTAAAATGTGTTTAAAAAGTTTTTAAAAGCTGGACGCCAAAATTCAATTCATGTTAGAAAAAAAAAAAACGTTCTTTTTTCTGGGAAGCACATAAAGATTCTTTAAGCATAATGATAAACCATTTTTAATAGACGACCGAATGCAGTCATAAAGCGTGTGTTCAGTGCTTGTTTATATGTATGTTTCTTGTTTATGTGAGGTGAATGTTTGATCTGAGAGAGATCTGCATGTGTTCGAGGAGCCGCTCGACTCTCAGCTTCAGATTCATTCTTTTGCTGCATGTTTTGTCAATAAATGAGTCTAAAAAGTCTGATTGAATAGCATCCTCTTTGAATAAAAGCATCTGCTTTCACTTGTTGCTTCTTGCTGTTTAAAAACAGTTTCTCATTTCTACACACTTCTGAGATATACTAGGGTTAATTAGGGTAAATATTAGGGTAAATTCAGGTCAATTGAGTCAATTTTGAAATTACAATGACTGTAGGCCTATATATAATATTTATATGTAATCACATTAGACATATATACTGGATGCAAAATCATGTATCAAACAGTATTGCATTTCAAAATTGTACCTAGACAGCATTTTTAGGCAACTTTGTTATTAATTCTTTTTTTATTTTCATGTGTCAACGTAAATTATTGAGATAATTGTTTTTACACCGATGCTATAGACACAATATCAATACATGCAATAAAAATACGGACCGAATGCTGGACGGAACGGAGCAGCGCGCGCTGCAGTATGAGCAAACTTTGGTGAGTTCTGTTTGTTTGTTTCTCTCTCTCTGTCTCTCGGGTTTTGTCGTTATCTCTCAGACTCTGATTGTGTTTATCAGTCGTTCTCGGCTGTATAGAGCTGTCAGTCGTGTTTGTGACTCTTGACTTGTTGATGAGTGTCTGCTGCTATCTCAGACTGCTGTGTGAAGTATCTGTTTTTAGTTCATGTCAAAGTTGAGTAACAATTATGATTCATAGTCATGACATGATCTCTCATTCTGTGTATTTCAGTGGTCCAAC